CTCTCTCATATATCTATATCTATATAGATATGAGTATCTCTGGATTTGTTTCTCTAGTCATCCCGGCTTAACACACTCATGAAAAGACTCTACCCCAAAATGAAAAGATAAACTACTGAGAGCAGCTTTAGAAACACACACACAAACATACACACACACACACACACAAAATAACCAATATGAACATAAAACTTTGACAAGGTAACAACAAAAACGTAACCCATCATAAAATGAGCAAAGAACTTGACTAGGCATTTCACCAAATGGCCACCAAACACATTAGAAGAAGCTCAGTATCATCAGCCATCAGAGATGCAAGCCAAAACTGTAAGAAAATACCGTTTCACTGGCAATCGTGACTAAGATTAAAAAACAGAGAGAGAAAAAAAGTAATACATGTTGGTGAAAATGAAGAGAAATTCGAATCCCTTTGTATTGCTGGTGGAATACAAAATAGTACAACCACTGCGGAAAACAGGTGGTGTTCCCTCAAAAAACTAAAACTAGAATTATCATGTGGCCCAGCAATTCCAGCCTTGGGTATATAACCTAAAGACTTGAAAAAGAGACCAGACTCACACATCAGTGTTCTTTGCCGTACTAGTCACAATGGGGAGACGATGGAAACGACCTGCATGTCCATCAACAAATCAATGAACCCCACGTGTTGCACAGCCTCACTGGAGAACTACTCAGCCAGCAGGCGCAATGACGTCTCCACGCCTGGGACAGCATGGAAGGCGCGTGAAGATAAACAAAGCAAACAAGGACATTTTGTACGACCTCATTTTTATAAAAAGACAAAATTATCGAGGCCGAACTGTATGACGAATTCCTAGGGTGGTCAGGGAAAGGAAGGTTACAGAGTAATGGGAAGAGAGCACACTGATTAAGGGTTGTACACCTTAAAAAGTTGTACACCTGTAAAAAGTTGAATTGGCAATGGCTTCATGATAAATTTAGAAACACATACACACACACACAACACACACAGAGATTAGCTGCTGAGGTTGCTTAGGAACAACTAAACACCACCAGGGATTGGGTTCCTTGGTCTTGCCGTTTAGAGCCATGGTTTCATGGGACATGGTTCGTGTTTCCGTTCTACCATCTGGTTCTTTATGCAGTTTTAAAGGCATGCACGTGGCCATCCCAGGGAAACAACTGGTATCGATTCCCCTGGAGCAACAAAGGGAGGAGTTCGGAACAGGAAGAGGCTATGGAATGTGAAGCTAACTGCTCCATGAACAATTCATTGCCTCCTCTGCCAGGGACCAGAAGGACTCGATGGTGCCTGCTTAGCAGTACTGAGCACTCTGATCACAGAACCTGTACAGAAACCCTCACCCAAGTGGGACCACTCACGAAAAGAATGTCAAATTTCCCTGGACTGCAGAATTTCTGAGGCCTTGAAGGGTAGATGAAGCCTTGCAAAGACGGACTTCCCTGACGTAATCTTTAAACCCTAAAGTCACCTCAAACCAAACAACAGTTTAGCTTAACCAGTAGGACGTCCGCCTTGGGCATTATGCTCCGTCAGGAACTCTCTGTGTGATCACTGGACAGCAGCAACTCCAAAGACCCGACAGTAAGATTCTGGAGCAGTGGGTTAATGCCGAGGAGGAATGACGCCGAAGAGGAGGAGGACTATGGCTACAATGGCGCCACGTCACGAAATCACACTGTAAAAACTATTGTGTATTTTGCTGGGGCTGTTCGCAACAACAACAAATGAAATTTAAGGGGGGAAAAAACTAACTGGGGGAAACCTTTCACCCACTATTTTATGTACAGTGTACAAAATAGTTTAATATATAAAGAAAAA